TGGATCACGGAGCACATCAAGAACGCTCAGGACTACATCCAAAAGGACACCTACCTCAGCATTCCGGCATTTGTTCAAACAGAGGGCCTCCACGGCTTCCTTGCTCGTACGTTTCCAACAGTGCATTAGCTTCCCTATTAAGCAAATTACTAACCACACTGTCTTAGACAATGCGACCATCTTCAACTCACCCATTGCCCACGGTTGCTCCTGGAACCCGTCCTTGGTTGAGCAGATGGCCGTTGCCATTGCGAAAGAGGCCCGCGCCTTCGGTGTCAACCAGCTCTTTGCCCCCGTCGCCGACCTCGCACGCGAACTTCGCCACGGCCGTGTCGAGGAAATGTATGGCGAGGACGGCTTTCTCGCTGGGGAGTTTGCCCACGCTTATGTCAAGGGTGCGCAGTCTGCAGGTGTCAGCGCCATGGTCAAGCACTTTGCTGCCTTTGGCGTGACAGAGCAGGGTCTGAACACAGGCCCTGCCCATGGGGGCGAGCGGGAGCGGCGGACGACTTTCCTCCCCTCATACAGGCGTGCCATCATCGACGGGGGGGTCTTTTCCATCATGACTGCTTACCACAGCTACGACGGCATCCCCGCTGTGTCGGACCCGCACCTGCTCACCGACATCCTTCGAGAGGAGTGGGGATACAAGTACTTCACCATGACGGACGCCGGCGCCTCGGACCGCCTCTGCAAAGATTTCAAGATGTGCGCGTCGGATCCCATCGACAAGGATGCCATCGTTCAGTACATTCTCCCGGCGGGTGGTGACATGGAAATGGGAGGTGGTTCCTACTCCTTCGAGAACATCCCAGCGCTGGTGTCAAGCGGCAAGATCAAGGAGGAACTCGTCGACACGGCTGTCGCCCGCGTCCTTCGGGCAAAATTTGAGCTTGGCCTCTTCGAGACGCCCTTTCCGGGACTCCCGTCAGAGGAAGCGAACAAGGTGCTCCGCGCGCCCGACCATGTCGCCCTGGCCCAGAAGCTGGATGAAGAATCCATCGTCCTTCTCGAGAACCACAACAACGTCCTTCCACTGCGCAAGGATGCATCCGTCGCTGTTATTGGGCCCATGGCCCATGGCTTCATGAACTACGGAGACTACGTCATCGTCAATTCCTCCACTCGCGGCATCACGCCGCTCGATGGTATCAAAGCCGTCAGCAAGGGCAAGATTACATATGCCAAGGGCTGCGAGCGCTGGTCGACCTCCGAGGATGGATTCGCCGAGGCCATCGCGGCCGCCGAAGCCGCGGACGTCGCTGTCGTCGTGGTCGGCACCTGGTCTCGGGACCAAAACGAACTCTGGCAGGGTCTTAATGCCACGACTGGCGAGCACGTCGATGTGAACAGCCTGGACTTGGTTGGCGCCCAGGAGCCTCTTGTCCGCGCCATCGTCGCGACGGGAAAGCCAACCATTGTTGTCTTCTCGTCGGGCAAACCCGTGACGGCACCGTGGATCTCGGACAATGCCGCCGCCCTCGTTCAACAGTTCTACCCCTCGGAACAGGGAGGTGCCGCCCTGGCTTCCGTTCTCTTTGGCGACGTGAATCCCAGCGGCAAACTCACCGTCAGTTTTCCCCGCAGCGTCGGCGACCTGCCCGTCTACTACGACCATTGGAACTCGGGTCGTGAGGCATCGCCCGATGCTGGCATTGCTTATGAGAACGGCACTCTTGTCTTCGGTCATCAGTATGTCTTGGGCGACCCTAGGCCTCTGTATGAGTTTGGCTACGGTCTTAGCTACTCTGCATTTGCTTACACGGACATCGCCGTCGATAAACAATTCCCCCGCGCTAAAGATATTGTCACCGTCAGTGTTACGGTAAAGAACACGTCCAACCGCGACGGACAGGAGGTTGTCCAGGTCTATGTGAAGGACTTGATTGCTAGTGTTGTAGTGCCTAACATTCAACTGAAAGGTTTTGAGAAGGTGGCTTTGAAGGCGGACGAGAGCAAGCGGGTGAGCATCAAAGTGAAGATGCAAGATTTAGGGGTGTGGGACGCAAGGATGAAGTATGTTGTCGAGCCTGGTGACTTTATGTTCATTGTCGGTGCCTCGAGCAATGATTTTAAAGGGAATGTTACTGTTACTCTTAAGTAATAGCGAACAAAGTTGCTAAGATACAGCCTTCTACCCCTCTTTTATTGAATGTCGCTCTAAAATACTAAAGTAGACTCGGCCAATTCCAGATCTCCATCCCCGAGCACAACGTGTTTTCCGTTCAATTTTGATGGTGTGAATGGTTCATTGCACTCCCAAACCCTCTTCAGAAACGAGAGAGGGTACGGCACAACGTCTGGCGGGCTGGCCATAGAGGACGAGGGGTGGGAAGGATTGGGTGACGGCTAGGGATTAGCATTAGTCGATGAGTTTCCGGGTTTGTACGAACGGCCGTGAAACTTGGATTCATCGGGGATCATATCTTCTGAAGCCTAATTGGGTTTCTAAGCACCACTTATCAACATAGACACCGGCCAAGCTTATAATACGTCATACGAACTATCAAATCGAGTTGTGGCGATCTCAAGGAGAACCTCTCTAATCAGGAAGAAACTCATAACGTGCCTTATAAGCGAACGGGCCATATAAGCGAACGGGCCACTTCTCCACAGGACGCGCCCCCTCTCTACTTAACACTGATTTTCTTAACAACCAAATATGCCTCCTCCTTCAAAGGAAGCTAGGTTAATCCTGGCCCTTGAAGCTCTTCAAAAAGACGAAAATCTTACCCTCCGAGCTGCAGCTAAGATCTACGACGTTAGCCGCACTACTCTTACCCAACGACGCGTCGGCCGGCTTCTACGACGTGATCTTCCAGCCAACTCGCGCCGGCTTACGGATTCCGAAGAGGAGGCCATTGTTCAATATATCCTTGAGCTAGATGTACGATCTTTTCTACCAAGACTGTGTGGTGTAGAAGATATAGCTAACCAACTGCTATATATACGCGATGCGCCCCCTGTCGGCAAGCTCTGGGCCTATAACTTTGTCAAACGCCAGCCAGAGATCCGAACGCGCTATATACGTAGATACGACTACCAGAGGGCTAAGTGTAAGGATCCGAAGGTTATTGGCGAGTGGCTTACCCTTGTGCAGAACGTCAAGGCTAAGTACAGTATCGTGGAAGACGATATCTATAACTTCGACGAGACTGGGTTCATAATAGGCATTATCTTCGCGGGTATAGTGGTCACGACCTCGGATGGCCTAAGCAAGGTAAAGCTAGCCTAGCCTGGTAACCGCGAGTGGGCTACGGTAATCCAGGGAGTCAATGCCCTCGGCTGGGCTATCCCCCCCTTTATTATCTTAGCTGTATAGTACTACCTCGCTAACTGGTATACCGAGTGCGACCTCCCGGCCGACTGGCGTATTGCAACCACTGACAATAGCTGGACTACTAATGTAGTAGGCCTAGATTAGATCAAGCACTTCGACTGCTATATAGCGCCTCGGACGAAGGGTAAATATAGGTTGTTAATCCTTAATAGCTACGAGAGCTACTACTCGACCGAATTCGAGCTCTATTGCTAGTAGAACAATATTATCACGCTCTATATACCTATATACTCCTCCTACAAATGCTAGCCACTTGATATTAGCTGCTTTGGGCTACTAAAGCAGGCTTATAGTCGCTAGATCGAAGACTTGATACATATATATATCAACTATATTAGTAAGCTCGAGTTCCTCTATAGCTTCCGTAAGGCCTTCTTTACCTCGATAACAGAGAGTAATATCTAGGGTGGCTTCGCAGGTACTAGCCTTATACTATACGATCTAGAGAAGGTGCTTTCCAAGCTAGATATAAGGCTTCGTACACCAACACCCCTGAACTCGCCGGCCAGTTGTGACAAACCCGGTCAGACCTGACTCTGAAAGGGTTCAGCAGAGGTATCAAGACTGGTTCGGTCCAATAGGTTCGGTGAAGCCAAAAGGTTTATAACAAGGTGTTCCTCACAATAAGTGCAGAATGCAAAGGTTACCGTAACACTATGATGTAATTGCTTACTAGAGGACTCCCAGAGCCTACTAGTCCTGTAGCTATATACTATTTGGGTTCCCTACTATTATAGTGGACGCCGCTGGTCGCTAGCGCCCCTGAGCGTCTATAGTCGCCGATGGACGCCAGCGTCCACGAGCGACTATCCTGCACTATCCTGCAGCCTTACGGTAGTGCTGCGTAACTATTGGACTGGGCTATGCCCCGTAGGTTCCACCTGGCTGTAATATATAGTTGGTTCGTAATACGATGCCCCTCTTCAACGTCTTTCGTCCCGAAAGATCGAGGTCGTCGTTTCAAATAGCGCCAACCGCCTCAACTTCCCTGTTTCTTCCGTAAGCGCTTCCTTCCCCGTTCGCTACTGCTTTTCGTTATAGCTGATACGCCTGGTAGGCCCTGTCGAAACCGCGCGCTCGAGCGTTGTACTACTGCCACTGCTATTGACCGTGACGGTCAAGAGGTCGATATACCCTACGAGCGTTATTGGAACGTAAAGCCCTAGAGGCGTTATATAATAGTCCCTAGCTCGAACAAGTGCTCGGGTTGCGTTCGTTTGGGCAAGAAGTATAGTGGTCCGAATATCGCTAGCGCTCGTAAGTCCTGCTTACCTTCCTATAGACTTGGGCTGATCCCTAGTAGTGATAGCGAATATATCGGCCTACGACAAAGTAGATAAGGAAATTATAGATGCTGAACAATAGCTATCTAAGGCGTTGAGCTGTCTCTCGTATCTTTGTCGTTAGTACGAGGTGCTAGGTAATACTGGCTCTGAGCTACTGAGCTATAGTCTAGATAGTTTAGAGGAGGACAAGTCTGATTCTCCTATACCGATGTCGGAGGATCAGTCCTTGGTTAGTTAGGTATAGTCCTTAGGTGCCTTTAGCGTTATAGACTAGGAGGCTATCGGTATAGCTCCCTATAGTAGCCTTAACTAGCTGACTATCCCTAAGGCTACTCAAAGGTTCGTTTCTCTTTTCTTCTTTTAACAAGTGATATAGCTATATAGTGTAGTGGTCAATATATATACTCTCTATATACCTAACCTCTAGACTTGTCTAGAGGTTAGGCTATGACTAGCGTAGGGTCGTGGGTTCGATTCCTATTATAGCTATGGTCTAGAAAAATCTATACTTCCTGCTAGGGTTCTTCTAGACTCTCTTTTTGCTTGTGCTAACTCCTTGTTCTAGTACTTCCTAGGGTAGCCCTTCTAGTACAATTGCTTCGCCTTTAGCTCTCCCTTTAGTCGATCTAGGTTCTAGTAGTAGAAGTTTATAACTTTCTTAGGGCAGTAAAGATTTATAGCTAGTTCCTATAAGTTTTCTATCGAGTCGAAATCCAACTATTTGATTAGATACTCTAGTCGTTTTTCGTTGATATATAAATCGAGGATTTCCTTAACGTCCTATTCCTCTTCCTTGTCCTAGGCCTCGGTGTTAGTCGTAAGCCTAGTATTCTTGGGTACTAGTTCGAGGAGTATAATATAGAAGATATTAGTCCTAACTCTTATCGTTGTTAGTAGTATGATCTAGTAGTTGTTTTCCGAGATCCGCTCTTCGATCTTGAACGGTCCGATCTTCCTGAAGTCGAGCTTCCTACTTGGTCGGTTTGTTCGAAGATTCTATATATTGAGGTAGACCTTGTCTCCCCTCTCTAGGCAAGGACCCTCGAGCCTATGTTTATCGTAGTAGCTCTTTATCCTACCTCTGACAAACTCTAGTTCGTCCCTAAGTATTATGTAAAGCATATATATCTAGTTGGCCTTGACTACTGCCCTAGGGACTGGGACCTCGGGTCCCTGGTGTAAATCTGCCTTATATCCAAAGTTTACAAAGAACAGTATGACTTTCGTAGTTTCTATAGGTACTGTATTATATACTAGCTATACTATAGGCAGAAGTATAACCCAATTGTCCTGCTAGAAATTGATATAAAACCGGAGGTATTGTTCTATAATCTAGTTGAGTCGTTCCGTTTGTCTATCTGTTTGAGGGTGATAAGCTATCGAGAGCTTGCTCTTCGTTCCTAGGCGCTTTATAAGTGCCTGCTAGAACTTTGATATAAACTTAGTATCTCTGTCTATAATCTATTCCTTAGGCTATATATAGACTAATGCAATATATCGGTAGATCACGTCTACAAGTTGGTCTACCGACTACAATTCCTTATACAGGAAGAAATAGCTCTATTTAGTAAGTCGATCGACTATAGTAAAGATACTATTGTAGGTCATTCCCGTTGTCGTATCCTTCGATGCTAGTAGTTTAGTGATAAAGTCTATTGTCACTGAACTCTATAGTCGTACTACGACCGGCAGTAGTTAGAGGAGGCTGTAGGGTTTGTACCTGTCTAGCCTGACTTGATAGTATAGATTATATACTACGAGCACCTCCTCAACTTTCTTTCTAAGTCCTAGGAAGTTATAGTATTGCCTGATCCTAGCGACTGTCTTAGCGATTCCTATATATCCTCCGAGTCTTGACTTATAGATTTCCCTGACGAATGCCTCCTGTTCGTAAGGCGCGACATATACCTTGTCGTTGTACTATAGTAGGGAGTTTTTCCTATAGATCCCTTTCTTCTATACCTTGTCGTCTCATTCCTATACGATATTGTCCCCTATATATCTAGCGTTATACTGATAATTCTTGCTGAGGCGTATTTCCCGGAATATAGCGCTATATTCTATAGGCTACGCTAGGTGATATAGCGATCCGTCCGCCTGTTCTTCGAACATCGGAGGTACTGTTTCCTGGAACTTGCCTATATAGTCGGATCTTCTGCTTAGGGCATCTACCTAGACGTTCTCCGTTCCCTTGATCCTTCTGATCGTGAAGTAGAACTATATTAGAAACTCTTGCTACCGAGACTGCTATAGGCTAAGGTCCCGTTTTACTACGAAGTACTGAAGATTCTAGTGATCCATATATACCTGGACTGGTTGTTCTATGCCGCTGAGGTATGACTTCCACTTATAGAAAGCTGTAATAATAGCTATCAGTTCCTTGTCATAAACTATATATTTCCTCTGTATATCGTCGAATTTCTTCGAGAAGAAGGTAATAGAGCGCTTCTTGCCGTTGTCGTCCTTCTATATAAGTTGTCCTTCTATTACGAAGTCCGAGGTATCGGTCTCGACTTCGTAGGGTTTTGTTAAATCTAGCAATAGAAGCACTATATCTAACGTGACTAGTTCCTATAGCCGTTGAAAGGCCTGCTCCTATTGCTCTCCCTACTAGAACTCGACGTCCTTCTTCATAAGGTTGTATAGTAGCTATACAATATCACTAAATCCCTTGATAAATATATAGTAGAAGTTAATAAAGCCGATAAAGGCTCTAACTTCTATCGTCGTCGTAGGTATAGGCTAGTTTCATACTGCCTTAACCTTAGTTAGTTCTATCCTAACTTCTCCTAGTGTAATCTCGTAGCCGAGGAAAACCGTCTTCTGGATATAGAACTCGCTCTTTTCCTTGTTAACTGAGAGCTTCTGTATATATAGTATATCTAGCACTTGTTTTACGTACTTATGACAAACCCGGTCAGACCTGACTCTGAAAGGGTTCAGCAGAGGTATCAAGACTAGTGGTCCAAAAGGTTCGGTGAAGCCAAAGGGTTCACAACAAGATGTTTCTCACTATGTTCGAAAGGACGTCTCAAGTATAGTAATATATTGCTTACTAGAGGACTCCCAGAGCCCTCTAGCCCTATAACTATATACTACTAGCTACGTACCCTGATCGCAGTGATCACAGGCTGATTCCTACGATCCCGTTGATATGATCGTAGCGATCGCAACGCGATCACTCTGACTGACTAACGCTCGCTGTGATCGCAGCCCGATCCTTGCGATCACCCCTTGACTAGCTAGCTAAGCGATTGGCTCAGGCTATGCCCTATACGCCTGCCTCGGGTTACTGTATATAGCTATATTCGTAATACGATACCCCTCCTTCGGTGCTTTCGTCCTCGAAAGGACCAACAGCCGTTCTCCCCTAGTGCCAATGTCTATCAAATACTGCTCCCCTGGTCTACCTCGCTAGTAAGTCTCCCCTCCTTTATCCTTCTGGATTCATATATATGTTTGCTTGTCAAGATGTCTAACCACATAAAGAAAACGAAGCCAAAAGTCGTATCAATACTCTACGCTAACTACCTTCTTACTACGATCCTTTCTTCCGACGATCTCCTGACGATACATCCTTATTCCGCCTATAAGGCTCACGGGCTCGAGTCCTACGAGGCCTCTAAGGTCGATTCCTCCCGATGTACGGAGTACGTCCGATTCAAGCGTTCGAACTACGATATACTCGGCGTTTCTCCTTCTTAGCTTCGATCTATTGCTTCTCGCTATTAGAAGCTTGAAGACAAACTCTTAGAAGTAGAGGAACGGGTCCTACGGCTTCAGAAGTAAAAGAAACTGTGGTTCGAGAAGATGATATAGGCCATTTCTTGCGGTATCGATTCTATAGAGGAATTGGAGCGCGTAGAGCGTGAAGAGGCGGAGGCGCTAGCGGCGCTAGACGCTCAGACTAACCCTCCTCTGTCGTCGGCTACTCCTCCCCTTCTAGACAATAACTTCGTCCTGTCCTAGAACTATATATACCCCGAGGTATAGCTAGAGCCTTCGCTGATAAGCGACTTCGGCCTCCTAATAGGTTCGCCCTCCTAGGTAGGCCAAAGGTGTATTCCCTGCCTCCTTTTTCCTAACAAATGAAATAGTTATATAGCGTAGTGGTCAGTGCGTATGCTCTTTGTATACCTAACCTCTAGACCTGTCTAGAGGTTGAGCTGTGACTGGCGCGGGGTCGTGGGTTCGATTCCTATTGTGGCTATAGCTCTAATCTTTTCGTCTTTATTTAAAGATGAAACGATTCGAGCCTCTTTTTTTTTTTTTTTTCCCGTACTGACTTGCTTTAGTGCTTCTTGGGGTAGCCCTTCTAGTGGTTCCGGTTCGCCTTCGGCACTTCCCTTAGTCGATCTAGGTTCTAGTGGTAGAAGTTTACAACCTTCTCAGGGCAGTAGAGGTTCTTAGCTAGTTCCTATGAATTTTCTATAGCATCGAAATCCAACTATTTAACTAAATACTCCAGTCGTCTATTGTTGATATATAAATCGAGGATTTCCTTAACGTCCTATTCTTCTTCTTTATCCTAGGCTTCGACCTTGGTCGTAAGCCTAGCGTTCTTAGGTACTAGTTCAAGGAGTACGATATAGAAGACGTTAGTCCTGACTCGTATCGTTATTAGTAGTACGATTCGGTAATTATTCTCCAAGATCCGCTCCTCGATCTTGAACGGTCCGAGTTTCCTAAAGTTGAGTTTCCTACTTAGTTGGTTTGTTCGTAGATTCTATATATTGAGGTAGACCTTGTCTCCCCTCTCTAGGCGAGGACCCTCGAGCCTATACTTATCGTAGTACTCTTTTATCCTACCTCTAACGAATTCGAGTTCGTCCCTGAGTATCGCGTGAAGTATATACATTTGGTTGGCCTTGACTATCGCCCTAGGTACTATAACCGCCGGTCCCTAGCGTAAGTCTACCTAGTATCTAAAGTTCGCGAAGAATAGTATAACTTTCGTAGTCTCTATAGGTGCTATGTTATATACGAGCTACGCTACAGGTAGAAGTATAATCCAGTTATCTTGCTAAAAGTTGATGTAAAGCCAGAGGTATTGTTCCACGATCTAGTTAAGCCGTTCTGTCTATCTATCCGTCTACGGGTAGTAAGCTGTTGAGAGCTTGCTTTTTGTTCCTAGGCGCTTTATAAGTACCTACTAGAACTTCGATACGAACTTAGTATCTCTGTCTATAATCTATTCTTCAGGCTATATATAGACCGAAGCGATATATCGATAGATCATATCTACGAGTTGCTCTACTAACTACGATTCCTTATATAGGAAGAAGTAGCTCTACTTAGTAAGTCGATCGACTATAGTGAGGATACTATTGTATATCGTTCCCGTTATCATGTCCTTTGATACTAGTAGCTTGGTAATGAAGTCTATTGTCACCGAACTCTATAGTCGTATTGCAACCTATAGTGGTTGAAGGAGTCTATAGGGCTTATACCTATCTAGCTTGCTCTAGTGGCATAAGTCGTATACTACGAGTACTTCCTCAACCTTCTTCCTAAGTCCTGGGAAATCGTAGTGTTGCTTGATCCGAGCAACTGTTTTGGCGATTCCTATATATCCTCCGAGTCTTGACTCGTAGATGTTCCTAATAAGTACCTCCTAGGCGGTCTTATCGATATAGATTTTACTATCGGGCGTTAGCTTGCCTGGCGTCTAATCCCGTTTTTCCCTAAAGATCACGTAGCACTCCTCGAAGTGCTAGAGGGGATGTCTCAAGGAACTACCCTCTAGGGCTTAGAACAGTGGTAGCGAGGCTTCAGTAGTGTTACCGAAATGATCCGGTCTCCTACTCAAGGTATCTACTCGTATGTTTTCTATGCCTTTCTTATAGTAGATAACAAAATTGAACTACAATAGGAACTCTATCTACTACGTCTGTCGTCCATTGAGTTCCTTCGTAGTTGTAAAGTACTATAGGTTCTTATAGTCTATATAGACTTGAACCTCGTATATCGTACTACTGAGGTAGGGCTTCCATTCTTCGAAGGCCTTGATAATCGCTATCAATTCCTTGTCGTAGACTAGGTAGTTGAGCTATAGTCCTAAGATCTTTTATAAGAAGAATATAACGGGGTGAAGCTTACTATTATTATCCCGTTATCCGAGTTACCCGCCAACTATATAGTCGGACGTATCGGTCTTAACCTCGAATAGCTTTCTAGGGTCTAGTAGTATAAGCACTAGGTTAGCGACGATTAGCTTATAGATCCGTTAGAATGCTTGCTCGTGCTCCTCTTCCCATTGGAACTCAGCATCCTTCTTCGTTAAATTGTACAGAGGTCGTACAATATCGCCGAAGTTCTTGATAAACATCTAATAGAAGTTGGCGAATCCAATGAATCCTCGGACCTCTATTGTCGTCTTGGGCGTAGGCTATATTCTAATAGCCTCGACCTTGGTTAGTTCTATCTAAATCTATCCTAGTGTGATCTCGTAGTCTAGGAAGACTGTTTTCGTGATATAGAACTCGCTCTTGTCCTTGTTGACCGAGAGTTTCTATATATAGAGTACGTCTAGTACTAGCCTTACGTACTTCCTATATTCTTCGAGCGTCTTAGAGAAGATAAGAATATTGTCTAGATAATAGACTACGAATTAGTCTAAGAATAGACGGATCGTATAATCGACGACAGCTTGAAATGTCGTAGGCGTATTCGTTAGGCCGAAGGGCATTACCTGATATTCAAAGTGGCTGTAACAGGTACGAAACACTGTCTTCTATTCGTCTCCCTTCTTAATACAAATATAGGCGTACGCTATCGGAAGATCGAGATGGGTAAAGTGTCGTGCTCCTGCCAACTAGTCGCAGAGCTATATAATTAGGGGCAAGGGGTACCGGTTCTTCACCGTCTGATCGTTTAGCTATCGGTAGTCTATATATATCCTGAGCTTCCTATCCTTCTTTAGAACGAAGAGGACTGGATAGCCTGCAGGTGATATCGATAGTCTGATATATCCTATCTTAAGGTTAGCCTCAAGATATCTCTTCAGCTCTCTATCCTGAAGTTCATTGGTATAGTATACCTTGAAGAACTTTAACTAGGCGCCTTCCTTGAGTTTGATCTTGTGATCCCAAGGTCTATGATCTGGCAGCCCTTCTATGTATTTTGCTTCGAACGCTGGATGTCCCTGGTACTCCGCCGGGATCCGTCCCGTTTCGTTGTTCTTTACTATACCTTCGTAGTATACGAATTTGCTGCTAGCTGTAACTTCGGCTACTTCGGCCTACTGTACCCACTCCTAGAACTAAGTGTTGCCGTGGTTGTCGATTGAGATAATAGTAACTTCTCTAGTAGCCTGTTTCATCTTTTTGCAGTGCGGGTCTTCGTTACCCTATGTCCTGTCGTCCTGCCTTGTCGGCTAATACGTTGATCCTTTATAACTGCCGCTTCTTCCTGAGTACGTAGCGGGTCGTCCGCCGCTGTCCGCCTCTTATAGTGGATCCTGGAAGTATATATGTTTCGTTATACTGCCTTTTCGTAATCCGTCGTCTATACTTCCTATCACGTTGGTCGGATATAGTCCCGGTTCTAGTTAGGGCTATAGGTAGCTACCTCCCTTCCAACTGATATCTAGGTCGTAATCCTCGTGCTAGGGGAATCCTAAGATTATATCCTTGTCGGTCCCTATATCTACGATATCGAAAATGACTTTCGTAGTCTTCCCTTCGATAGTAATATCAAGTGGCTCGGTTTCGCGTCGAGCCTACTATATTTCGAATAGTCCCTTGACTATATATACAGTGTCTTTTATCCTCTATGAGATTTGGAGTTGATTAACGAATCTTAGTGAGATAAGGTTAAGTTCTAACCCTCTATCTACTAACGCCAATACCTGGTATTACTTCTAGTATACCGAGATCCAGAGTCTTCTGTCGGCCCTGGTGCCCGATATAGTAGCGATTTCTGCTCCGCTTGCCGGGAGATCGTTATAGCCCTTCCGTTTCGCCTAGTTCTTCCTGTATTAGTAGGCTTGTCGTCGTTGTAGGGGTGTTAGAGGTCGTCGGGCCCCTCGGAGGGCCTAGAGCCGTTTCCTAAGCTCTGTTAGGTACTGTGAACCGCGTCGTTCAGTCGTCGATAGTCCACCTACCCCCGTGGGAGGTCGTGAAAGGCATCCCCTTCCGTTCCCTGGCTTACTTCTACAATAGTGCTGTACTCTTGTAACCATTGCTTGCTGCTCTGTACCAACCGGTCCTCGTCTTCGCCCCTCTGGGATATCAAGTCCCTTAAGTAGCGCTTCCTTGTTTCTATCTTCCTACGCTAGTGCTCCTTGCTTTTGGCTTATAGGTGCCAGACGTAATCTATACTACTACAGTAGCTAATGTTATTGTCCTGTGAGTATATATATAGGGATGGCTATACCTGTCGTAGTTGTATATAGACCTTGCTGTCCTCTGAGTACTCAAAGTACTAGAGTAGGTCGGATGCTCCCTGCCCCTGATCAAATGTCCACCTGATCGGTCTAGGCAGTCTATTAGGCATAGTCTCGCGGATAGGCCAGTGGTTATAGTCGTATTTCTCCTTGAAGTGATACTTATAGGCATATATAATGCACTAGAACTACAGTACCTGCTTATAGTCTGCCTGCTCGGGGTACAGCCTTCGCGATTCCGACTTATCGACCTATCGGAACCTCTCCTTATAGTCGAATTCCTTTATATCGCTGTTGTTCTTCCCAAGGCTGATATAGGCTCTAGTCTTCTAGAACTCCTCCTAGCTCTAGGGTTCAGTGTTCTTGAGGTACTACTGCCTAGCCTAGTCGTAGTATTCCTATTCAGGGTTCCGGACCTCGGTAGGGTAGCAGTCCTCGGCGCTCTAGTTGTATAGTCCGCTCTATCTAATGTCTCTACAATCGGAAGAGTCGTTGACTTAGAAGATCTCCTCGTAGAGTGTATCTACTTACTAGATCGCCTTATTAAGCCTTCCTTCGACTATCTATCCTTTAGTAACTAGCTTGAAAATCTTAGTCTGAAGTTAGTTGTTCTACTCCTTGAGCTCTTGGACTTGCTACTAGAGGTAAACCGGGTTAAGGCCTTCCGCCGAGTCTCTTTCGTCTATGGTCTTCTATTGCCTATTGCTATCCTAGACTAGTCGTAGTCCCTATATAATAGCGATCTATTTAATATACTACTAGGCTGTTAGTACTATTAACTCCTATTAATCTCCTTCGCCTATATCTATACTATCGCTATCGTT